GTCCGTGTGCTCGTCCGAGTGCCCGTCCGTGTCCCTGTCCTGCCTGTCCGGGGCACCTCTCGGCACAGCGGGCTTTTGCTCCTCTGCGCAGGCCGATCCCCACGGGGTGGCAGCGCCCGGCCCGTGCCGTGGCCGTGGCGCAGGACGGGGGAGCTCTGACACGCTCTCCCGTGGTACTCGCCAGCCCGGCGGGCCCTGGAAGCTTCGTGGCGTCAGCCCGTGTATGAGAATGAACCTGCGGACTAGCACGTGTTCGTGACTCCACATGCATGGATAGAAACCCTCAGAGTTTATAAGACACATAGATGCGAGTTCTCTGTCAGTGTCATTTCACTCCCAGGCAAAGAAGTTGCCGGAGCTTTTCTTGGCTGTGGAGGTCATCAGCCTATTCACACTCGTGAAACGCCAGTCCTGTACTAGCAAAATTTGTGACTCTTAACCTTTGACAGGCAAACATGTTGAACCAACGTCTATACCACTTAATAATTTGTCGCATCCACGAGAATGCTTTCTACTACTCTGTATCTAAATTCATCAAATGCCATAATACATACAGCATATTCCTATAGTCTTTAATGTAGTCTTTGCTGAATGAGGAACTAATCTTTCTGTAACAAAACTACTTTTTTTGTGCACTTTACCTTCCAAAGGTCAGTCAAGTGCCCTACTGTTGAAACCAAAGCCATCATCACCTTTTAAATCTGCACATTTAAAGCTGTTGACTCAACAGCCTATCTTTCCCAGGTCCAGAAGGTCATGCATAGTGGCACCATGCATGTGTTGTGGATGAGTAGAAGTGAAACAGCTGGAATTGTAATTCCTGTTAACTAGCGCATATCAAAAGTGCACTCACAGAATCACAGAATTGTTAGGGTTGGAAGGGACCTCTGGAGATCCTCCAGTCCAACCCCCCTGCCGAGGCAGGGTCACCTAGAGCGGCTGACACAGGAACATGTCCAGGTGGATTTTGAAGGTCTCCAGAGAGGGAGACTCCAAAACCTCCCTGGGCAGCCTGTTCCATTGCTCTGCCACTCTGAGTGTAAAGAAGTGCCTCCTCATGTTGAGGTGAAACTGCTTGTGAAAATACTCACGTACTTGTTTCCATGATCATTAGAAATTAGTGTGATTTTCTTTTAGGGTGTGGTGGATGGGCAACAGAAACAACATCAAAATAAGGCTAATTGTCTTTCTGGTAGCAGGACTCACTATGGGCCAGCTGAAAGAGTAACTAAGTTATAAGATTTTTTTAAGGAAGTCTACTGAGACTAGGTAGGAAAAGTATGAACACAATGGGAAATGGTGTATATATAGCAAAATTTGTCATTCCATTTGGAGTAGAGAATAGCTGATTTCATGTAACGTGTATAATGTGGCAGAACTCAATGAGCTTAAAGGGAGTGTCTTGAATAAAATCATATAGTGGGAGCAATTTTTGCACTGTTCTGACAATTGCCAAGGATAAACATGTATCTATGGATGTCAATATAACAGCACTTCTTATTTTTACATATGGAACGAATTTTGATCACAATGTCTCCTACTCATGTTGGGAAAACTTTTTGTGTACCAAAAAAATACAGGAGCAGTTATATTCAGTTTTTAATACACTCTGTTCCTCTGACAGATGAATAAATATTCCAGCCCTGTAATTATAAAAACAAATTTCCCAGGATCATAGATACCAGTGTAGAAGTCAGAGAGCAAGAGTGCTTGACTTCTAGTTTCATAATTGGTACATGAATTCATGTGTCAGTAATCTCATCAGCTGCAGACTGGATCTACAGCAATTTCGTGTAGTGGTAGGGTAGGAAGGAGTACCGAAAGCACAGAATGCATGACTACATCTGATGTAGTTAACTGAATAACTCAGTTAATCAGGAAACAAAATAGCTGGTGTTTTTCTTTCTCCCTTGTGAGGAATTTGCTGTTTACCTTATTGACTGAATCATCCTGACTCAGAGACGATTTTCATATGCTGGCTGTCTCCTGACCTTCAGCACAGGGCTGAAATTCACCTTTTGTCCTCTTTGTATTTCCCCATGTAATAGGGGAAGTAATCATTTGCATTCTTTTCTGCCTTTGGGTCAGGGTATTTAGGCTGCTGCTCAACAGGAAATGAACAGGAAAGAGTTGTTGTTATAGATTAATCCAAACCTTAGCTTTTGGGTGGGTGGATAGGATTTTCTCTTACAGCTCAGGAGTGGGAATTTAGCACAACCGCCTACTCTCTGTTCCTAAGGAAACACATTAAGCAGCTGAATATCCGAGGGCAGCAGCATTTCTGGTGGAGGGATTTGTTAAATTGTGTTATCTGTGTAAGTGCAATTGCTCACTGACATCATTAACACACCGTGTCGCCATAGTGCCAGGCAGAGAGGGGAGCCCCTCACATCGCTGAGAGAAAGCTGAGCTGCCCAGAACTCTTTCCTGATTGAACCAAGTTTGCTGAGATGGGAACTCCCTGCAATGACCGCCTTCTGCCTGCCATAAACACATTTATTAAGGAAACTGTCAGAGCTGCCCCATGTTCCAGCTTCTGGGCTGCACATTTAGTGACCATCCCACGCCTTTTCCTAGCAATATGCCAGTGTAAATGGGGTTTTCCTCCACTGCACTGTTATTCCACATCAAGTGAGCTACTTGTGGTACCACACAGTCATTTCCACCAGAGTAGTAACAGCATCATCTTTGCCACCACCACACCAAAGACACCATGTCATGGGCACCAGTTGCAATCAGAGAACTTAAAGCAGCCCTGAAGCCACAGCCCTGAATTAGGAGTGGGCAGAGCTGAGTTAACAGAAAGGAAGCTTCCCTAGGAGACAGTACCTTCAAAGGACAGGTTTACATCAAAAGAGCTCCAGTGTAGCAGCACAGAGTTAGCCCTGCTCTGCAGCAGATGAACCTCAGCTTCTGGTTCTGTTGGGTTCACAATTGACAAGCCTTGTAAGAACTTGCTGCTCTCACAATACAAACCTGTGCTGGGTGAAGATGTACCACCCTCCTTCCTGCACCTTGCCAGATTCCCAGACCAAGTCTGGTTCTTGAAAATATTAGGTGATATGGTACCTCGATCTAAGACAAGCAGTTTTTAAGTAGCCTTATGCAGACTAGGAGTTCATTTCTGACAAACTCTCTGTTGTAACTACTTGAGGATGCAGTGACTATTAGTCTCATGGACCTAGAAGGGTTTTGAAGCTCTGTGCAAACTCCTTGGGAAGTTTTGCTGCTGTAGCAATGATGTTTAAATGTGAAGAGGATCTAGAACTCAGGCCAAGTCTTGCCATGAAATAAATTTATTTTTCTTTCAGCAATAGGCATAATGGAAGACTTGCCTTTAAAAATCATACTGGAATGGAAAACTTGCTCTTGCTCACAATTTTTCTGTAGAAAATATCTTGTTTAAAAATCTTTTTCAATAAGAAACACTTTTTTTTTTTGTATGCACAAAAAACCTGTATCATTTATCACCTCTTGGTGACTGGGGAAGTGCTGTAGCAGTATTGTGTGGATTGTCAACAGCCCTCACGTGAGTTATAATCCTGACTTTTTGGGGCTTTGCCACAACAAGTTTTGCTTCAAACAGTGCTTTCTCAGAGATCTCTGCCAGTGAAACACCTTTCCTCTCTGCTGATGATTTGTCATTTTAATAACATCATCTTTGATCAAATCTCCATGAATGAGGCAACAGCTATCCACCACAGGCCTTCACCATGGATCACGACTGGGAACCAGTAGGTAATGACATCAGGCTTCAGAAGAACAGCGATCTAATTTGTCTCTGAGTTCCTCATCAACCAAACCAAAGCCAAACTGTGCTGCAGGGGTGGATATACACAATCCAAG